AATCTACTAATCCCTAGGATTCACTGGGACCTTTATCCCAATTTTTCTGAACAAGTTATTCAACAAATATAACATACTAATAGAGAAAAATCGTCATTGAAACATAAGAAAGAAGAGTAATGGCCAGTGGATCAGTAGTGGGAATTAGGGTGATATTGAGTCTTGGCAAGCAGCCTGGTGGTAAAGTACATATACTTCACAATTTAATTCTACATCTTTTATGAATAACCCAGTCTACCCCTTTTGCCTCACTGTTTACTATCTTGTCTCCCTACCATCTTCCAGCCCCCTTGAACTCAGCATAACTCTATGTTGAAGAGATTTGTTGATCCTGGCAGGAGCCATACCATTTTGCTTTGGGAATTGTCTTAAAGATATTCTTCTTCTCTGGGCATATCCTTCACTCACCTCTGAGGACTTCCTGCAACCATTGCTGTTTAGAGTGATCTCTTCTAAAAGTGTGCCTGACCTCCACTTTCTCCCACATCTGGCTGTGTTCTCCATTTATAATTTGCCAAATTTTGCAAAATGGTTTCAATCACTTATTTGTATGTCTGTCCTATTAGACTATAAGCAGATGTGACTATTATTTTTTTAGTTTTGTTTTGTTTTTTGAGACAGGGTCTCACTATGTAGTTGAGACTGACCTGGAACTCACTATGTAGCCCAGGCTGGTCTCAAACTCACACCAATCCTCCTACCTCAGCCTTCCAAGTGCTGGGATTACAGGTGTGCACCACGACGCCCAGCCTTTGACTATTAATTTGACTGTCAACTTCATTGCATTAAGAAATGGCTAGCAGATTACTAAAGCAAGTCGTTTGTTATGTCTGGGTAGGTCATGAAGGCATGACCTTGAGTATTATATATGATTCTTCACCCTTCTCTCCCTGACACTCTTCCCCTGCCTGCTTCTGGCCACCATAAACTAAGGAGCTTTGTTTTACCATGCCCTTCCACCATGATGTTTCTGCCTTGGAGCCAGCTGATCATAGACTGAAACAGTGAGCAAATTAAATTTCTCCTCCTTTAAGTTGCAGGTGTTGGGTATTGTGTATCAGTGATAAGAAAGCTAATACAGAAATCTGATACTAGAGAAGTAGGATCATTGCTGTGACTGTGTCTTACCTTGTGGTTTAGAATCTCTTGGAACCAGTTTGTTGGAGGATTTCAGAGAGGTTTAGAGATGTTGGTTAGAGAAGCCCTAATATACTATAAGTGAGTCTGATGGGTGACTCTGTTTAGGGATCAGAAAACTATCCTATTGATAGGAATGCAGGTCATAAAGGCAAGGCTTGGGAAGTTTCAGTTAGAAACAAAGATTCCATTGGCAGCAGGACTATAAGCCATGTGTATTACGCTCTGGCAGAAATTTTTTCCATATTTTTCCTATGTCCTGAGAGTGCAGGAAACTGAGATTGAGGAGTGGTGGAATAATTAATCTTCCAGAGGAAATTTCAAAGCAGCCTAATGTTCAGGCTGTTGCATGGGTACCACTGTTCGCTTTTAGCCAGCTGTATAGTCAGAATCCCAGATATGTGAGCCAAATTAAACCTCTCCTTTAAATTTTGGATATTAGGTATTGTGTTTCAGCTATGATAAAGCTAATACAGCAGAAATTGTGTCTCAGTGATCTACTAGATGACTTGCAAAAGTCACATTTGGATGGCTGAAAGAATGAAAAACTAAACTAATGGATGAACAGGTTTATTTCTCAACCCTTCCTAAAATGTTAGCCCATGCAGAAATAACCTATGCCCTGTCATGAGGAGGTTCATCTAATATTTATTGCACTTCTCAGGTGGCCAGCCTGTGCCCTGAGGACATTATGGGTCCTTAAATTTTGAGAATGATGTGATCTATATCTAGATTTCCCCCAAGAGTCTCATATGCTCAGGGTTGGGCCGTTTGGAAGAGTAGTGGATTATGGTTTCAGAGCTGAATGTGCTGTTGGAAGGTGAGACTAGTCAGAAAAGATGAGTCCCTGGGAATATGACTGGGAAGGGAAACCTGTATCTTCTTTCCCAGCTCTTCCTTCTTTCTGCTTCCTGGCTGTCATAATACAAGGAGTTATTCCTCCACCATGCCATTCTACCTTGGAGCCTGTAGACTATGGACTGAGAATGTAAGCCAAAATAAACCTCTCCTCTTTGAAGTTTCAGGTGCTAGGTATTTTGTCCCAGTGGTGAAGAAAGTTACTAAGAGAAGAACCATATTTACAATGGGCTGGAGTAAGTGATATAACAAGGTTAAATCTGTATGCCAGGGGAGTTTAAAAGAGGGGAAAGTTTGGGTTTGGCAGGAGGGAAATGCTGTCCAAATAGAGATGTAAAAGATAAAGGACACTCCAGGCAGAAGCTGCAGGAGTGTTTCCAAGTTGGAGGGACAACATATGCAAAAGAGAAGACACCTCCAAGAGAAAGGCTCTCTGGGTCACAGTGTCAATTTTGAAAGAGCCAAGTAGCCCAGGCACTTACAACCTACTTAGGGGACTTAGACCTCATCCTGGGGAGCAGTGAGAAGCCAGGGAAGGATTCCAAATTGAAAAACAAGATAATAAAGCTTACAATCTAGATAGTTGTTACTCAAGCATGAGGCTACAAAGTCGCTTTTTTTTAAAAATCAACTTTATGGAAAATACCATTATTGAAGCAACTTATATCAAATTGAAAAGTATTTTCCATGTCCAGTAGGAGGAGCCAAAGTCTCCTGGTTCTTTATACCATGGTTGGGGGATGCTTTGCCTGGATGGCTATAGGAGATCTAGTTCAGCACCTCTCACTACCTTTCAGTGGCACAACATGGAGAAATGACAGAAACAAACAAACAAACAAAAAACAACAAAAAAACACACCTCTGCCCGGAATAAGGTAGCTTTTGTAAAATAGAAAGTGGTACTTTCAAAATGAGTGATGTAACAGCAGGCTATATTGATCAATTCTCTACTTTTGTTTTAAATTCTAGTGGGTGTCTCCCTCACTCATACTACTGCCTTCAACCAAGAGGTAGCACAGGTAAATGCATGCCTGACACTCACTGGTGATCTGTGTCTCTTTTTACCCTAAAATAAATAAATGAGAGCAGATTCAGGCTGACCTTGATTTTCAGTTAGTTGAATATATCTTATTTCATTCCCGATGGTAAAAAGTATTTAAAAAAATAATAAGAGGGCTTAGCGATTACCTGTTTTAATGAAACCACAGTCAATGTTTCTGCCTTGAATGATTGCATTCATTTTTTCCTTTCTGGAGTAAAAATGCAGGAATATTAGAGAAACAATTCCTGTTGGTGAATTTGCACAAAACATTATATTTCAACAGGAGTTCCCATTAACTGCCATTTATTTTTTCTCTCATTATTGATAATTTGCTTTTAAATTGAGAATACCTCTTTTACAACCCATCTCATCTCTCTGCATGGCTAGACAATTACATTTAAATTCGGTGGCTTTCCCATTGTAAACAGTTTCTGGGGGAAATGATTATGATGTTACTAACCCAGATTTATGGCTTCAATGTGCTACCACTGAAGGATAAAGACTAATATAAAGGGAAAAAGTTGTTTACATACAAATATGTTATTATCAAAGACAGCCCTGAGAAAGCCTATGGTAAAAACCAACCCAAATTGCAAATCACTGCTGCCAGTGATAAAGATGTCTCTCTGGATCCTGCAAACTTTATTTTCTCAAATAAGCAGAAAATATTACATGGTTTAAAGACAAATTCCAGTTGTAGGTAAGAGCTCCCTTTATTGGACTATGGGAAGGGAAGTTAACCTGGGAGGAATCACTGAGTCTGTTTGTGAGGCCCAGGAAACACAGTTACAGAGGCACTCAGGGGACCTGATTTGGAAATCTCACAGCTCCCTTAGAAGAGGAGCCCTCACTGAAAGTGTAGGGCAGTCAAACCACAGGTTGGGGACATGACTAAGAGCATCAGGTCGAAGGCTCAAGGCAGGACCTGGCCTTGTCCATTCTCATCTGCCCTTCAGCGGGCACATGAAAATAGGTGGACCTGCCTGGGAGTAGATTCTGGTTCCTTGCCAACTTTATGACCTTGAGCCAAGGTTAGAGCTTATTAGACTTCAAACTTTATTGTGCTAGATAGTTACTCAGAATGTTTGCCAAAATGAACGAAAGAAAGAAAACAAAGCAAAAGAAAGAAGGAAAAGGAAAGAACGAAAAAAGGAAAGAAAAAGGAAGGTAGAATTTCAGCCTAAGAGGCCAGGGTGGGGCTCAGGAAAGGAGAAATATGGCTTTAACTTCCAAATGCCTCCTTTTTTAAAATCTGTGCAATAGATCAACCCATCATTAGGACTTCATCGAGTTGCTAAAAAGGCAAGAAGTAAAGTGGTTAAAACAACATCTGGCGAAAAATATGTGCTTATTAGTAATACGATTAAGAACTCACAGGTCTTGACTGTAAGGCAGCTGCTAAGAAGACAATTGCTAGGCTGGTAGAGCCAGTAAGCTATCCAGGAATAGGAGGCCACTCATGTGGCAGGAGGAGAGGCGTGGTTTTGAGGGGTGAGGACCAGCCCAAGCTGGCGAACTCTCTGCATCTCAAACAGGGCTCCATTTCTGCCAGGCCTTGAGATTTGAAGATTCACTGGAAAACGTCCCAGAGCAGAAGCAGATTGGGGCAAGAGCCTGCTTTCACTCCTAGCTCCTGTGGGGGGTTTGTTTTCTCTCTTTGGGGGTCTGGATGGCGAAGAGCACTGCTGCCCCACGAGGGAGCCCACTTTGGGACAACAAGGACTTGTGCACACCAAGGACCTGCGCTCACTGGCCCGGAATCAACTTTCACCCCAGTCTCCTTTATGGAGGAGCTGGAGGCCTTGGTACCTCTGGAATTCAGGGTGCTCCCGTGACCGCAGCGGTGGAGGCCTCGGCAAGGGAAGGGGGAGGGGGCGCTCCCTGGCGCACCGGATTATTTTTGGCTCAGTAGCCCGGCTGCTTGCTGACTGTCGCGCCCGCGCGCGCGCGCGCGCACACACACACACACACACACAGACACGCGCGCGCGCACACACATACACACACACACACACACACACACACACACGCACGCACGCACATTTTCTCGCGCGCTCTCTCGGTCTCCTTTGTTTATTTTCTAATCTATATTTTTGTAAAAAGATTTCTGCTTCATTATCACTCGCCTGCCTGCTAGCGCTCCTGAGGGTCAACGGGTGCACGCCTCTCTCCCCATCACTCCAGCCCCCTCTCCTGGTCTCCCTGAGCTCGGGGTTTGAAGGTCACCTCCTTTTCAGTCCCCCTGCGAGCTGCACCGCCTCCTCCAGCCTGAGCGGGTGGCGCTGGTTGCGCTGCCTCGAAGTGATTCACGCGTAGCGGACAGATCCGGGGTCCGCGCAGGGTGGGGAAACCCGAACTCGCAGAGGGGAATCCCTCCCCTTGCGCCCGTCTCCCGCGGCACCCACGTAGGGGTTAGGGGCGAGCGCTCAGCCAGCCCCGGACCGGCAGAGGCGGCATCGGCATCCGTGAGACCCACGCGTGCGCCTCGGGGACCAGAGAAAGCGAGCAGCACAGCCAGCGTCTGGAGGGGACGGTCGTGCGCCCCGCCCCGGCGTCCTGAGGGAGAGAACTCTGAGCCTCCCAACAGAGGCAGTCCGAGGAGCAGCAAGACGCGCACCCCGGGACACGGAAATCTCGCGCTCCAGAAACCCTCTCAGCTGCCGGCAGGGCCCGGGGCTGTTCCGACCCTCTTCGCTCCCAAGCAGGGGCGCCAGAGCGGGGCTGACCTGCCCGCGAAGTTGAGGGACAGTGTGGGAGAAGCCGGCACCTCACTTCGCCGCCTCCAGCTCATGGTGAGCGTGGTTGGGGGTGCCGAGAGCGCAGGGGAGATCGGGGGTCTGGGGCAGCAGAGAAGGCGACCGCAAGCGGACCTGCCGAGAGTTCCAGGTAAGTCAAGGCGTTGTCGCTTCCTCTGTGCCCCTCTGACCTGGCCCCGGGGGTCCTAGGGAGGGAGAGCTGGGTCTCCGAGAGCTGGCCTTCTCCCAGAGCCAGTCTGGGCACGGTGGACGGGAACTTTTCTGGGCGTGTGGAGCAGTCTCGCGGCTGTCCTCCTGGGGGATGAGGCAGACCCCGCGCCTCGCTTCGCGCAGCACGTCCTTCCTGGCCCCGAGCGCCCTGGCGAAGCGAGCGGGCTGCCTGGTCCGCCGTCCTGCCAGCGAGTCCCAGGTGCCGGAGGGCAGGAACCCGCTTGCGCACTCTGGTCGGCCCCCTGCCACTCGATGCAAGGGTGGGCTTAGCGCGCCCCCACCGCTGCCTCCTCCACCGCTCTTCTCGAGATCTGAGGGAGGAGGAACCTCGGTGATTTGAGAGGGGACTGGGGAAGCGCCGAGCCCCGGTGGGCAGAGGGGAGCCAGAGGGTGTACAGGGCACAGCGACTGTGTTTACTGGCACCGGGTTAATGCCCCGAGATGCTGCGCTCGACCCAGTGGAGGAGGCCCCCCTGGAAACTCGGGAGTTGGGAACTCCAGTCCAGCCTCCTGGCCCCTTGGGCACCTTAGAGCATCCTCATGGCTGAGGGTGTGGGGGACAGATCCTGGGGCTTGCAGATCCAAGAGCAGGCGCGGCTGCCTGGGCTCTGGTCTCCTGGTTACCCGAGGACAGAGTGGAGGAGGGCGGGGCTGGCAGAGCGCCTTCCCCACCTCCCTGCCACGGTTCTGGAGACCACCTGATCGGTGCTCCCCAAGGCTCTGCGCCAGCTTTAGGCACCAGGTGTCACGCAGAACCCGGAAACCGTCTGAGCAGGAAGGGAGGGGAAGACCCTGATGCCACCCTGCCTGACGCCACCAACTCTCGGCTGCTAGGGAGTGGGTGGCTCATGGCTTCCCTGTGGGCTGATCCGGAGGGTTGGGTCACCTGCCAACTCCGAACTGTGGAACCAGGCCGCCCAAGGCTTGGACAGCCTCACCAGGCTGCCTGGGAAAGTGGCACCCAGACGGGGGTCTTCTCAGTTGAACTTGTAGAGTGGTGAGGCATGGAATAGCTTTATTTGAACAGATTCTCAGTGTATAACTTAGAATTTCTTTCATAATAAAATGATTAAAAAAACTTTTAAATCCAGAGCATGATGAAACCTGGTCTTGTCTGCAGGTTGGGAGTCACTGCAGCCTGGGTTCCCTCCTTTGTCTCCTGACCCCGTCCTTTGTCCCCCCAGCCCCATTTTAGTTCATCCACCCTCCATTTACCACTTATATATGAGAGAGAGAGAGAGAGAGAGAGAGAGAGAGAGAGAGTTATGAGTGGGTCTGGATCCTTTCAATATTTAAGTGACCACAGAGGGCCTGGCTGGAGCCATCAGCAGATTTATTTTTGGCTAAGAGGTTTTTCTTTTACTGTTGTTGTTTTGTTTTTTCTTCAGAGGCAAAGGACCTGGGACCTGTGAAGGTTAAAGGTGCTGGCAGTGGCTGCTGGCAAACAAAGGGGGCAGACGTGAAACCTTCTTGTTTGAGCACAACCTGGAGGCCGTGGGTCCAGAAGGTCCCTTGGGTTTCCTCTAAGTGACCATAGGGTGGAGTTGGGTTAGAAAGGAAAGGATACCCTTCCTCATAATCATGGAGGGAACTGTCACAGTCCAGAGCACAAGACCTTGGCGCCTGAGAAAACACCAGGCTCTTGACTGTGTTACCTGCCTGCTGGGTGACCTTGGGCATGTTGTTTAACCTCTCTGTTCCTCTCTGTTTCTTCCCTTGTAAAATGAAAGTTTCAGTACTAGTTCTGCTCTGAGAGGGTTCTGGTAAGAATTAAAGAAAGTAATAAAAAAGCAGGACCTGGCATATGGTAAGTGCTTAAATTGTGTTAGTTCTCTGTGTATCTGCTCTCTGTCTCTGTCTCTGTCTGTCTTTCTCTCTCTCAAAGGGTTACTATAATTATGGGGTCTTGGGACTGTGTATAGAAAAGGGAGAATCTGGCCTTATACACATTCATTCCCTCTTAAGTACCGGGAAAAACTTATATATGGAAACAAGAGAGAGTCTAGTAAAGGGAGATGGCTAAGCCCCTCCACAATGGCCTCTTCTGCTCTGTTCATCCCTTGTCCTAACAAGGATGGGGGTCAGCTGCCTTCCAGTGGTGTCTGACTCACCCTCTTGACCAGCACTGTTGACCTGAAATTAACATCAGGGACAGCTGTGTGATCTTCTGATCTGTAGAAAGCCTTCATCTCCTTGGCCTCCCAGGCTGAAAGTATTGTCTTAGTAAATCTTTTTGAATTGGAATCTTCCTCCTAAAATACATGAAATATTTTGCAAACATAAGAATTAAAGAATATTAGAAGTGGCTTTATCTGTTATTTATCCTGAGACTCACACAGTGACTACTCCCATATGGAAATCTGTGACGTTATCGAACTGCATGAACAAAACTGTGGTCATTCATTACCCATAGCAAGTGAGTGCACAAATAGGCACCTGGCTGAAGGCTTTTCAGTTTAAAATTTTTATTTTATTGTGCTAAGAATACCGCATGAGATTGACCATTTAAGAATAGTATGCACTGCAGATCTGCAGAACTTGCCCATCTTCCCCACACTGAGGCAAGAGATCTGAAATCTAGACTCCTAGAACCAGACAGAGGAGGGTGGCTGCTCGTGTCTGCAGGGTGGGCAGGGGCGGGGGCACAAAGATTTGTCAATCAACAGGTGCGAGCTTCAGTGATGTCCCAGTAACCACTGCTCTCTTAGATCTCCCCATCTTCACCATCATCCTATGACTCAGAGTTTTGACCCCAAACCTAGGCAGAATGTGGGTCTGAGCTGGCTGCTCCCGGAGTGCACCTGTCTGCCCTCGTTTCTTCTCATGGCAATACGTGCTATTTTCCCCACCTCTCCCTCCAACGCCTGAGCCCCGTCTTCTAGACACTGCTGCTGGTGTGCCTGATGGATCTTTTTATTCCCTAATAGCTTTAGCCCTTGCTGCTCAAGCCATATTAAGCTATTATATTTCACCAAAGTCCTTTCAGATCATTTTTGGTTTTTGCATTCAGAAAATTGGGTCTGCCTCGTGTATGCGTATGACATTTCACCTTTCTAAAAATTAGACCATTTTGTTTGCATCCTTTAAGCTCATGGGTGGAGGGATGAACACTTTCCAAGAGGGAAATCGTATCTGACACACAAAACACTTTGGGGATGCGGTGATTTCCCAGTGGCGTGGGAGGAAATTCTTGAAATCTGAGTGCACTTGCTCTAAAGGACACAAGGCAGCAGGCCTTGACCCAGCTTGAGAGGTTCCCAGTAAGCAGGATTCCCAAGTTAACCCTGGCTTGGCCACTTCTGCGGGGACCATCCAGTCACCCGTCACATTCGTGTTCACCAGTGTCATTGTACTCAAGACCTCAAATGGTGATGCTGTTTTTAAAGAAGCCACAAGGCTCTCCCCAATGCCTGCCTCCATTACTTAAAATACTCCTTCAAGGCACATAAATATTAAAACTTTAATTAAAGAATCAATCAGTGATGGAACTTTAAAATGAGGGGCCTTAGCACTTTCGGATTATATCCACGGCAAGCAGGGTTAGACTCAGTTGATGAAAAGCAGTACATGGCCTTATAGGAGAGACAGTGGTTCCCATGTTTCATGTCCATGCTTGCTCTGAGCACCATCCTTTCCACTGGTTTGTCGCTGGTCGCTGGACGCGGACGCAGTTGACTGTGAGTTCCTACTGCAGAAGACTGTGTCTGTCTTGGGGATAGAGGTGACTCATGAGATATTGTTGATTAAAACCATTGAGCGTGTTGGAGGCTGTGCTTTGTAGACAAGGCCAGGGAGAATTTTGCTCGGTTGGAGCTTATATTATTGGGACAAGCCAGAAATAAGGAAGAGGTGTAAAATCTCAGTTATCAAGAAAATGACAAAGATTACAAAAGTTGCATCGTGTCAGAGAGGGGCTGGGAGGAGCTTTCCAAGGAGGTGGCATTTGAGCTGAGACCTAAGCATAAAGTAGGAGCCGCTGAGTATCAGTCCACACATTCACTCCGACGGCGGACAGTGAATGCCCGCTGTGTGCCAGGCAGTTCTAAGGCGCTTGGAGTAAACAGTGGTGAATATGTGTGGAGATCCATGTCCCAGTGCAGCCGTCGTCTAACTGAAAGTCCGAACTCAGGGATTTCAGCTCTTGCCTGTGTTCCCCAGAGCACAAGTATATACCTGTTCCTGGGGGCTCCTCTCCGGCTATGCACAGAGATAGTGGCAGAGGGAGGGGACAACCAGTGCACAAGCCTAGGGACCAGGATAATGAGGTAGGGGTAGGAATTCAGGGAGGTGATCTCAGGCCCTGGAGGCCTGGAAAGGAGTTCTGAAGGATGATCTCTTGGGAATCCTCCAGAAGGCTTTATGCAGAGAAACGCTGTGGCATATTTAAGGCAGAAACATTATGGGAACATTGTTGATGCTTTTGAGATGAGCGAGAATAGAAGCATGACTTCCTGGCCTTCCGTTTTTTTTTTTTCCTATGACTTCCAGATCACCCCAATAACCATTTTGGTCTGTAGACCTACTGGGATCTGGAAAGGCAAGTTCTATAATACGTAAAAACTAGATTTTAGTATTTCCCCCTCTTTAGGGCTGGGGTGAAAGAGCTGAGGGTGTAGCTCATTGGCAGAGTGCTTGCCTAGCATGTTCTAGGCTCTAGGCTCTAGTTTCCATCCCTAGCTTTGGAGAGAGAGGGAGAGGGAGAAGGAGAGGAAGAGGTAAAGGGAGAGGGAGGGGGAGGGGGAGGGAGAAAGAGAGAATAGTTTATAGGATAAAAGAACCTCGTTTCCCAGTAATGCTCCTTGCCCATGGGTGGAAGACCCTGAGAG